TGCCTTCATCAGAAAGGATGAATACCCAACTTTTGTAGCAACATGGACAGGGCTGGAAGAGATTATGCTGAGTGAAATAAGTCAAGCAGAGAGAGTCAATTATCATATGGTTTCACTTATTTGTGGAGCATAACAAATAACATGGAGGACATAGGGAGATTGAGAGGAGAAGAGAGTTGAGGGAAATTGGAAGGGGAAGTGAACCATGAGAGACTTTGGACTCTGTAAAACAATCTGAGGGTTTTGAAAGAGTGGGGGGTGGGAGGTTGGGGGAGCCAGGTGGTGAGTATTAAGGAGGGCACGTATTGCATGGAGCACTGGGTGTAGTGCATAAGCAATGCATTCTGTTACACTGAAAATAAATAAATAAGTTTCAAATTTTGTAATTTATAAGGGATCACAAATTTATTTCAAATTAATCCTCAAGGTTTGAAAAGTCTAATAACATATATAAGGAGGGAGATCACCCTCTTCAATATCAAATCATTTCTATAAACCCTTTGTAGTTCCAAATATTGGAAATGTGAACAAGGCATTAACAGGTAATTTGTCATGAAGAAATACAAATGTCTAAAAAACATTTAAATCATTTTAACTCACTAGCAAGAAGTATGAAGTACTGACACATTGATGTGTCAGGATATGCAAATATAGTAAGAAATACAATTGAAAAGTTGATTCCTTCAACACCTGTCAGATTGGCGAAACTTTAATATAGTTACTGCTCAGTGTCAGTGAAGATGTGGCAAAGCACCTACTTTTACACACTTCAGTAAAAACATGAATTAGCACAGTCTTTCCAGGATGAATTGGAAAAATGTATGTAAAACCTAAAAAGAAAATGTACTGCTTTCCCCAGCAAGTGTTTTTAGGAATATTTTTTCACAAAGGATTTTCACCCAACATTTTTCTTTTTTTGCCTTCCCCTAAGTATTTTATTTTAATTAACATATAATGTATTATTAGCCCTAGGGGTACAGGTGTGTGAACCACCATCACCCAACACTTTTAATGGATAATTGTGAAACATCTCAAAGTCAAAGAATAAGCATTAGTCAAATAAATGATAGAGTATTTATGCAATGCGATTTTTACAACCATGATACTGCTGAATATTTAGTGCCAAGGGAAAGGACAGTATACTTGTTATTTGGGAAGCAGTGTGGTACTAGGTGTATGAATGATGCTTTTCACAATATTAGCAGCAATAACTCTGAAGTTTGGGATTAGGAGCATGCTTTTTCCTTATCATTCATGCCTAACCAAATTTTTCATGTAGATATTTTATTATAATAATAAGGAGCCTATAAATGTTCCTAAGATCAAATAATTAAGAAAATATGATAATAAACTTTTTTTATCATCTTGGACTTTGGAACGTGAAATTTATTTAAAATGATTCCAGTTTACAGATAAACCGAGAGGTTAAGGCAGTTGGCCAGAGTCACACAGCTGTGATTTAGCTTCTGAGCTCTTAACCACTGTATTCTACTGCTCAACTGATGGGAATATAAAGAAGATTGCATGAGCAATTAAGTATGTGATGCCTATTGCTGTGCCTGCACAAAGCAGAAGTTTGACTAAGCATAGCAAGTAATTGTGACAGTAGCAAGTATTATCAGAAGAGCTTTCCAATATCTGCTTGTGGGCTGTTAATATGATTAATGATTGTGGCTCTCCTAGCTCAGTCTTCATATTTAGTTTTTTTTTTTTGAATCTTCAGCAAATCAACCACATTTCTAAATATTTAGATAGCCATTATTCAAAAGTTAAAAATTTGAAGGCTTATTTATTTTATTTTTTAAAAAATATTTTATTTATTTATTTAGAGAGAGTGTGTGAGGGGGAGAAGGAAGATGGAGAGGGAGAGGGAAAGAATCTTAAGCAGACTCCAAGCTGAGGGGGGGGAGCCTGTCCCAGGGCTCGATCTCCCAACCCTGAGATTATGACCTGAACTGAAATCAAGAGTCTGATGCTTAACCAACTGAGCCACCCAGATGCCCCTAAAAGAGTATTTTAAATTCTAGCTAGCTTTCTTAATAACAAAACTATTCCAACTTATATTTTTGACAATGGTCAATGGGATTATGCCAGAAAAGTAATTCTCATGCTATGTATTTCATTAATTTTATATTTCATTAATCCTTTGTAGCATTGAATATCTTATCTCTTTTCTTTTCTAATATGTCCCTACTGACCATGCCTGGTTCAAGGGACCAAGGTTGCAGACAAATCGTGTTACAGCAGGAATGAAGGTGGGTCAAAGTATGGGTACTGTCGCAAAGTGGATGACACACAGATTCCCTGCAAATCAACGTAAGTGGCCTTGTTGTTCGAACCTTCCTACCCCATAGACTAGAGAAATCATTCACTTCCAGACACATGTTCTGATTTATTCCAGTTAAAGCAAAAGTTAATTTGGACATCATTCATTTGATAAGCATTCATTGGGTGAGGATTATGTGCTGTGTTTTAGGCTAGGCACTAAGTTAAAATACAAATAAGAAAGAATTCTTTTTTCCAGTGCCTCATGGTGGGTGCTTTGGATGACACGTACAGTCATTGTGAAATAAAGGGAATGTGTGGATGGAATGTGCAGCAGTGAATGGGCATGTCTGGAAGTCTATACATGGATTTTCCAATATAATTTAGGAACTTTTCCATCTAGGTGTTTCATTATGGTTCTAGGAGTATAAATATTTATCTACTCAGAGTAATAACCAATACAATGCTCATTTGGTTTTATTTAAGGTTACCATGGCATTATCTAAGAAAAAACAGTAAGAGAAAAGATGGACAATTCACCTGGAGAATTTGTTTTACTTTTTGTATTGATATTCTGTAAAATAAATTTCTTGAATATCGTAAACAATGGACTTGAGATCTTTGTATAAGGTTTTTTTGATTCTATAATTTCAAGATGACTTTTAAAATTCAAATTATAATGGATTAAACTGAGTATCTTCCCAAATTTCACACATACTAAATAATATGGAATAAGAAACTGAACAAGATCAATGTTTCTCAAAGTTTTTCTATTAAACAGTGATTTTTCCAGATGATAAATATTACCAAGCTATATTTCAGACAGGGAGTCTTCCTTTGGAGAGTCTGAGCCTAAAGGATAAAAATATTCCATGGTCTCTCCTTTATAAGAAATCAGGGCAGATTCAAAAGGCAAAACAATTTTGTAAAAAGCAATGCATGTGTTTTCTGCAAAACAATATGTAGTTTGAGAGGCAGCGAGCAGGAAAGAGAGTAAGGTGGTTCCACTTCTCTCTGTAGCAGGTGCACACATTGTCCTGAATGACTGTATGATCTCTGGATCATTCCTCCAACTAGAGGCACAAACATGTCATTCTTTCCACAGGCAGACCTCCTAGTCACTTCTGAATAGTCATCAGTTGTAGTGGAGAGAGGACCTGAAATTCTCTGTGCTCTAGGCCCTCCTTATAAAAGCTCTACCTAAGTGACTCAAGAAAAATGCCTCTTCAAGTTTGGAGAGAATGTGTGCCTTTTTCCACTCCTCTCTCATATTTGCTAACAGTTGCCAGAAACATCAGGAGAATCTGATTCTGTCCCTCTGAGTAGTTTTTCACAGACTTCCTCAGAATTCTGCATAAAGTGATTGACTCCAATTTTATTGGACCTGACTTTATTCACCTTGGCAGTGAATGAATGGCTTTACTAAGTGCTGAGCTGTTTCATCATTATTTGCAGGGAGACAGTTCTTTTAGGAACCCCACATGATGTCTTTGAGTGTCACCCAAGGCTTAGCCTTATGTAGACACAGCTATAGTTGGGAGACTTAATATGCTGCAATTCATGAAAATAAAGTAACTTTAGTTGAAACAAAATAGAAATATCCATGTGCCCTCCATGATGTCTTTCTTCTTTATAGCTCAAACATGACCTTCATTTCCAGGTGTTTCACTTGGTCTGTCATGGCTTCTGTAGCGGCAGCCATTGCATTCCAATGAGACAAAAAGAGAAAAAGGTGCGGAGCAGGACATACTCCTTCATGTAATGCCCCCTTCAAGAATTTACACATAAGATTCTGCTTCCTCCCCACTGGCCAGAACTTAGGCAATTGACCAAAATTAGCTGCCTAGGAATCTGAGAAATGTGGGTTTTGTTTTTAAGCAACAATGTGCCTTGTTAATGTTTGGTGGTTCTATTACTGGAGAACAAGGGGAAATTTGACATAAAGGGAGAACTAGGAGTCTCTGCTATGGGGAGAAATATGATGAGTTAAATATTGATGGTCTGGGAGGTGATTTAGAACTGCAGAGATCTGCAGTTAGGATCCTGGTATTTCAACTGCAACAAATTTGTCTTTTCCTCAGTGATGCCATGTGTGGGAAGTTGTTCTGTCAAGGTGGGTCAGATACTTTGCCTTGGAGAGGACATATTGTAACTTTCCTGACATGTAAAACATTTGAACCTGAAGACAGCAGTCAAGAAGTAGGCATGGTAGCCAATGGAACCAAGTGTGGAAACAAGAAGGTAAGTTGAAAACTTTTAATCAAAGTTGAAACACTTTTAATCAAAGTGTTCTTTTGTCCTGTTTTTTGTTTTGTTTTGTTTGTTTGCTTCTCAAGGACTCCTTATGTTTTATGGGGCACAGTTTTCAAAGCAATACTTAGCACCACTCATTTATGCATGCGTCCACTCATCCCTTCAATACTGTTTAATAGGTAACTATTATGTGCTTAAGTACTGGGTTATTAAAACTTGGTAAATTGTATTGTCCCAAATCAGTAGGTTCTCAATAAATGATAACCACCTGAATAATAATAATTAAGAGAATAATAACATTACTATTTATTTTTATATAAATGATAGTTACTGCAATATTGAAGATGATGTGTTATTAACATGTTTTCCATAATATTTTTGTTTGGAATGGGTGCTTTGTATCATATGCAATGCTTAGCTCAGTGCTAAATATCAGTCTCAGGCATGGACTGAAGAGGTGGATTAAGGGAATGACTCAGGAGGAATAAAGTAAAGTAAGGAAATATTCTTTAGAGGACTTTCCAAAAATTTTTTAACAAAAATTATCTAGCTTCATCTTCTTATTTCCAAAAGAATGCTGTGATTTCCCTAATAAAAGGGCAACAATCATGGCTAATAATAGAAGACTAAATTCCAAAGAGTCAGCAATTTGCAGAGCTGAAGCCATTAGGTATTGATGTCAGCTTGATGTTTTTCACATCACTTTCAGGTTTGCATTAATGCAGAATGTGTAGATATTGAAAGAGCCTACAAATCAACCAACTGCTCCTCCAAGTGCAAAGGACATGCTGTAAGTTTTGACAACGCTTCCCAAATCTTGCTGAATCTTTTGTAGTTTTAGATCAGTCTCGATGATGCTGAAGTAATGTTTCAGCATTAAATTAAAATTATTAAGTTTGCCTTAATGCTCACTAGTTTGGTTCAGTGAAAAGAATTTCTTCTAAGAACTTGGTATTGACATCCCTACGATGGATTCATACATTATGTAGATAGCTGAAAGGTTACAGAGTAAGGGTTAGCTTCTGATGAATAGGGCCCCTGGGTTGGTGGTCAGCCTAGTGTGGAAACTAATAAGATCTTGTCTTCTCTAGGTGTGTGACCATGATCTCCAGTGTCAGTGTAAAGAAGGATGGGCCCCTCCTGATTGTGATGACTCTTCAGTGGTCTTCCGTAGGTAACATTACATGTCTAGCCTGAAAAAATTGCTCTTCTAAGCTTTTATTTCATAATACATTAGATTTCATTGCCTTTTCTCTCTCCTTTTGGAATTCTTGTTCATTCCATAAATATTGAATCTGCAATATTAATCTTCAAGTTCTCTAACAGTTTTTTGTTTTTGAAGCATATTTTCCACATCCTTATGCTTTTACTATACACACAAAAAATTTCCTCAAATTTTATATTTGCAATCTTTAATTTCTAAAATTTTCTTGTTTTATGATTGTTCTATTTTTGTAGAAGCTTTGACTTAATGTATAGATATAATATCCTCATAGAACTCTCTAAGAACACAGCTTAGATTATTTTTGTAGGTTCAGTTCTGTTCTTTGAATCATCTCTATTTCTTTTGAGTTTGATTTATTTTTCACCCTGTCTCTTATTGTGCTTTTTCTCTTCAGGATATGGGACCTTAGATGAAGGTGAGATAGGTTGACTTCAATCGGTTTTCAAGGGTTTTCTTTGCATGTTTGCGTGCTTGTTATACCAACCAAAACTTCTCCAGATGGGAGATCTGGCGGTGAGCTCTATCAGTAGAGAGACCTCCCTCCAGGCCCTCAGGGCAGAAAGCAGCCAGGGTGGGGATCCTCATCCCAAGTCACTATGGTAAGGAGTACTTTGACCAGACAAGAGCTTCTCATTGCATTTATATCCTGAGAGAACTGCTTTCTCTCCGCACTCTTTCCTTGATCCTCCCTTCTGTTTCATCTCCTGTGGGTATCTGCAGTTAGTCTCTGTTCTGCTTCTCAGGCCCTTGTATCCCCCATTGCTTCTAGAGAGCAGTTCTTGGCTCTTTGTCCTCGCTCTTGTTCTATGTACACAAGGGATGTGGATGGGGATGTAGATGGGGATGCACCTGACCAAACCATCTGTCTCCAGTTCAGATTCTCTGTTGGCTTCCCAAGAAAGAATAGCACTTGCTTCTGATGTTTGGACTATTTAAAAAAATATATTTATTTTTATTTATATTTTTTAGATGGGGGAGGGGCAGAGGGAAATATAGAGAATTTCAATCAGACTCTATGCTGAATGCGGGCTTGAGGTGGGGCTCAATTTTACAATCCTGAGATCATGATTGGAGCCAAAATCAAGAGTCAGACGCTTAACTAACTGAGCAACTCAGGCTCCCCTGGGCTATTTTTTGTTTGTTTGGTTTTTGTTTTTAAGATTTGATTTTAATTCCAGTTAGATAATATACAGCATAATATTGATTTCAGGTATATAATATGGTGATTCAAGACTTCTGTACAATACCTGGTTATTTTTAAAAAATGTGATGGGTCCATGGGAGGGTATGTGTTGTGGTGAACGTTGTGTATTATGTAAGACTGATGAATTACAGACATGTACCCCTATAGAATATTACATTATATGCTAATAATAATAATAATAATAAATTCTTGGCTCTTTGCTAGACTTCTCAAGAAAGAATAGCATTTACATCTGACATTGGATTATAATTTAATGTTTCTGTCTGCCTATATGCCTTTACTTTCTTCCTGAAATTTCTGAAAATTTTTTATGATTTTTTTCTAGTGCTCTATGATTTTATCATATATATATTTAAATATTAAATATGTTATTACATGTATATAGACAGGCACACATATGCACGTATTCTATTTAGGATATGTCCTCTGATACTTGGATATGGTAGGGGAATAGACACATAAACATCAATCTTTAATTAGAAAATTCTTTAATGGTTTCAACACTCACTAAAAATCCTTTTAAACTGTGGCTTACCTCTTCATAAATTCTATTTTATTTATCTCTTGATTTGGTAAATCACTACCATTAGTCATTTCTTCTTTCTTCTTGCATGAAACTTTTTATGTTGCATTTGCAAGAATTTATTTCCTTTGCTAAATAGAAAACATAAATAGGTTGGATTGGACTAGATTTTTTTGACTCAGAGTTTTAATTTCATGACTCTCTCGAGAAGTAGATCCTGATATTTAATGTTCAAAATCTGAGGCTACCCTGATTTTCTTGTTGTTGTTGTGAAATAACCCTTTAAAAATCATTAGTTTGTTTTCCCTTAAATGTTTTTAGAATTGCTACTTAATGAAAACATCATTTTGCCATACCTGGGTGTTGTTTTCTTTTAATTATTTTGATTGCTACCCAGTGAAGGCTTTCAAATTGAGGGTTTGATTTTGTCTTCAGTACAAGGAATGTTTCTGTTATTACAGATTTGAAAACTGATTCTGTTCCACTTCCCTGGTTTCTTTTTTTTTTTTTTTTCAGGTATTTATTTATTTTTAAATTTTTTTTTAATTTCTTTTCAGCATAACAGAATTCATTGTTTTTGCACCACACGCAGTGTTCCATGCAATACGTGCCCTCCTTAATATCCACCACCTGGCTCCCCAACCTCCCACCCCCCACTCTTTCAACTCCCTCAGATTGTTTTTCAGAGTCCAAAGTCTCTCATGGTTCAGCTCCCCTTCCAATTTCCCTCAACACCCTTCTCCTCTAAATCTCCCCATGTCCTCCATGTTATTTGTTATGCTCCACAAATAAGTGAAACCATATGATAATTGAGTCTTTCTGCTTGACTTATTTCACTCAGCATAATCTCTTCCAGTCCCATCCATGTTGCTACAAAAGTTGGGTATTCATCCTTTCTGATGAAGGCA